TTTACCTAAGTTCTAAATGTTTTCTTTATATTTAAAATAGTTCCAATAATTCAAAAACTGACAAATAAAATTTTGTAGAAAATAAAAATTAATGTGCCATATTTAAAATTTTTCAAAAGCTTAGGGGGGGCGGCTGCCCCACCTTTCCTTAATTGACTGCGTCCCTGGACAGGGTGCTCAAGCTATCGCAATCCTAGTCGGCCAGCTGTATCTGTATCACAATTTTTAGAGTCTTTGTGACTTGCAGAGGACGGGGAGAAGACCGTAATTTACTTAATTGACTAAGCAAATTCTTAATTTGCCCTTCACTCACACCAGATATTTCTTCGAATTTAACCACTATAAAAACCATTCCATGTCGCTAATTTCTAGAGCATGGTTGGGAGTTCTCTAACTATAATACCAACTAAAGTTGTTTTTGCAAGTTGTCTCTGTTGTTGGGTGATGTATTTTGAATCTTGATGCTAATTTGTTCAGAAATCTACTGAAGCAGGTTAGATTTTCTGGCTTTTCTCTATTCTCTCTTTGCGATTGCTTTATTCCGTTTCATTTACTTCTTATTTCAACCTTTTTTTTATGCTTTTATCTAATCTTTATACTTGTACTATATTTCTTTTTTAAGGGTTGGACAAATTTCTGTCCTAGATAAAATTAATGTCAAAATTTAAAGTATAAAATAAAAATTAATATTAATTTTAACCCTAATGCCCTATAAATGTTTTTAATTAAATAATTAATAAGATTAATGTCAAATTTTATTTTTTTATATATTAATAATAATAATATACATTTATTACATCATTAACTTATATACTCTTTGAATCATATTTTTAATATGCATCACATCAGTTGCCTTGTGAAGTTGTGTAGTTAAGTTGCAAAAATAGGTTGTGCTTTTAATTTTGCTCTTTTTTTTTTCAATTATTAATTCATTTTTTTTATAAATACATGAAATTTGCTATGCTTCATCTAAGGATAAAAGATATAACAAAAAATAATCTTTTTCTTTCTTTAATCTCTCCTCAGCTAATTTAAATTACAAATATAATATTTTCAAATTGAAATCTCAACTTTTATTAGATAAAGCTACTCCTTGAACAGGAATAGAAGTATAAAGTTTGGCCAACATAATGTTTCATTCAAATTCAAACTAGCTTGCATCAACTAAATAATTACAAGTTTTTCTTCGCCTTGATTAATTTAGAACAAAATCTGGTAACCTGTTGAAAGAGTTCGTTCTATATATGTATATAATGCATCTCTTTGATTTTGAGTTGCAGGTATTTTCCAGCATCAATGGAGAACAAGATTATGTGCACTGTCTTCTTTCCAATATTGTTGACACAATGCTTCCTGGCTGCCTCAGCCATGTCGCAAAAAAACTTCACCACAGACAAATATGCCCTTCTTGAATTCAAAACTCATATCACTTCTGATCCTTTTAATATCCTGTCCTCCAATTGGTCTTCTGCCACCTCAATCTGCAACTGGGTTGGTGTTTCATGTGATGCTCTTCATCGTAGAGTCACAACCTTGGATCTTCCAAACATGAACCTCACTGGCAGCGTCCCTCCTCACTTGGGAAACCTCTCATTCCTTGTATCTGTCAACTTGAGTGGAAACAGCTTCTATGGCCATTTGCCTTCAGAATTGGGGAAGCTGCAGCGTTTGAGGCACTTCGACTTGAGTTCCAATTTTCTTGAAGGAAGCATCCCTGATACGATTTGCTTGCTTTTAAAGTTGGAGATTTTTCGGATAGGAAATAACCAGTTTACAGGAACTATATCAAGAAAATTTGGGAACTTAACTAAGTTAAGGAAAATATATATAGGAGATACAAAAATTGGAGGTACAGTCTCCAAATTTTTCTAATTTGTCTTCTTTTTCTTTACTAGTATCTGCTGAACGATAAGTCAAGATGCATCATTTTTCAGTCGAACTCTAAATCTCTAATTTCTTTTCAGGGAAAATACCACAAGAGATAGGTAATCTTCATAATTTGGAAGAATTTGTAGCTACAAATGCAACACTCTCAGGTCCTATACCACCAAGTATAGGTGAATGCAAGAAGCTTCAGAAGCTGTTGTTGTCGACTAATAGATTCACTGGATATATCCCAAGAAGCATTGGGAACTTGAGTGAACTTACTGTGTTATATTTAGATGATAATAACTTGGAAGGTAAGATTCTTCCATATGTTTCTCGTCTTCTTCTTGCTACTTGAGATTAATGCTTTTTGTGTTTTTTCTACACTTGTAGGTGAAATTGGTCCAGCTACCATCTATAACATATCTTCCTTGAAAGCCATAAATCTTGCAAACAACAACCTTTCTGGAAATTTTCCTTTGGATTTGTGTCGACGTCTCCCAATGCTTGAGTGGCTTATTCTCTCCAACAATAAGCTCACTGGAAACATTCCAAAGGATATTGGAAACTGCACTTTGCTCTCCGCTATAGGGATTAGTGGAAATTCCCTTAAAGGTAACCAATCTAATGTAACCACCTCCCCTCTTTTTAGAGTTTTTTTT